GTTTACAGGCTGGAAGTGCAATATTCATCCGACAGCACGATGCTCCCCCACCCACCTCCCCCCCTCCCCATTTTGTGAGAAAGCGTAATTGATGTTTCAGTTATTCCCCAATTATTAGGAAATTATAACATCCTCCTGGCGATGGGAATGATACTGCGATCAGCACAGACAAGGCGGGGGCACAAAGGGACAGCCTTGCCTAAGTCACCGTCCTACGTTAAGGGCACCCCCCCGTCCTGGCTTTGGCTGGGATAGAGTTAAAATCCTTTACAGTGGCTTGTACGGGGCTGCGCTTGGGGTCTGCGATGAAAACAGCGTGGATGACCCAGGGATGTGTTCGTCCCCGCTGAGCAGGGCTTACACACAGTCCTGGCCTTTTCTGGTCTCACCCCACCCCACCCGTGAGGGGGCTGGGGGGGGGACACAGCCAGGACCCCAAGTGACCAGAGGAATACCCCACGCCATACGAAGTCATGCTCAGCAGTAAAAACTGGGGGTAGAAAAAGGGGGGTCAGGACATACACACATTGGGAGCGATGGCGTTTGTCTGCCCAAGTCACCCATACGCCTGATGGAGCCCGGCTGTCCTAGGGATGGCTGAGCACCTGCCTGCCATGGGAAATAGGGAATGAATCCCTTGCTTTGCTTGCACACGTGGCTTTTGCTTTCCCTATTAAACTGTCTTTATCTCAACCCACAAGGTTTCTGTTTTACCCTTCCAATTCTCTCCCCATCTCATCGGGGTGGGGGAGGAGCGAGAGGCTGGGGACACCAAGCTGCCAGCTGGGGTTAAACCACAACACCCTCTTAGCAGATGAAGGGAAGCCAATGAATGTGCTTTTTCTGGATTTTAGAAAGGCTTTTGATGCCATACCTCATAGTGTCCTTCTGGACAAGTGCGGCAGTGTGCTCCCCACCTCTCCAATTCCCGCCCCCCCACCTCTTCCCGTAACTCTGCTCAAGTGATAGCTATCGTGACAGATGTGTCTGGTCGTGCAGAATGCATCTGGTGGATGCAGGGAGGACAGATAACAATACCCTAGCCAAGGGCTACTGTGGAATGTGCCCACCTAGGCACAATGAAGGTCCTAAAATCTGTGGTCAGTATGCAAACATGACTACGAGCCAATCATTGTACCCCTTAGCCTGGGACCCAAAATTGCCAACGTCCAGGGATTTCTCCCACACCAAAGCAGCCACAGCCAAAAGCTGGACCCGTGCCTCAGCGGGACAGACTACCCTACCAAAAGCCCCACAGACCCTGGGGCTCAGGGCTTTCTTCTCTACTCCAGAGCCCGACATTGGCAGTCACTCACGCCAGAGCCCCAGCCTGGGACCCAAAATTGCAAACATCCAGGTGTGGCATTGCATGCATGTGGCAGAGAAGGCAGGGAACCCAAGTGCCTGCACAGGCACAATCAGCATGATCCCGCTGCTATTTATCCCTTTTCTCCTTGGTCCCAAAACAAAGTCTGCACCCCTGCAGGTCATATAGCTTATTGCCACACCTGCAGATCCCATTCTTATCCCCACAACTCCCCCTTCTTTACTAAGAAGAAAGCAGCAGGAAACAGCTTATAATTGTAACCGGCAGTGAAGTAATATGTACTGATCAACAAATAAAAGGGGGAAAAAAAAACAAAAAAAGATTTGTTTTTACTTTTGCTGTTTTACACAAACACCCCATGGTTTACGAACTACTATATAAACAGTTAAAGAATACATTTTGATAATATCATAATTCTGTGATCGCTTTCTTTACAAAATCTGAACTTAAGAATCTGAGTTCAAATCAATTCACATTAAAAAACCTGCAATTTCAATTACTGCATTGGTTAAGACTATTTTCTTGTTCTTGCACTTGTTCCTGTGCTTGATCTTGTCTTCTTGTCCGTCCCGCCAGCAGTCCAAGTAGCCTCCCTTACATTATCTTCTTTGCTGAGCTCTTCTTCAGTTTTATTTCTTTTTCCTTTTTGTGGCCATCTATTTTCATCATTCTCTGACTTTAATTTTTTGAATCCTACTTCATCTGCTGGCAGTGGACATTTTCTTCTGCGAGAAGTGGAAATTGCCGGTTGTATAGGGTTAACCCCTTTTCTTTTTCCAGAAAGATTATTTTTTTCAGAACCAGTGGATGTCAAACATATTTTGAGTTTCCAAAGTGCTACCATTTTCTGGACTTATTCCCACAACAGCTTCCCCTTCTTTACTAAGAACAAAGACAGAAGTTCTTGATTTGCTTGTGAAAAATAATACACTTACTGAAGTCAAACGCAATTTTCCTGTACATGCAGTGAAGGGAGACACTGAGTCTATTTAAATCTAATTCCCTTGCATTTGTGTTTTTTGAACTTTAATTTCTTGTTCCCTTTTCAAAGGAGCATTTTGCTTATAGGCCTAAATGAAGCAGCTTAGCAAAACGGTAATACTGACAAACAGCATCTTACACCATTAGCTAAACATTACAATGAAGGCAGTGAACATTTACAGTATGAAACACTGAGATGTCATCAACTGAAGTGAAGAAATTTCATTGACATAGATCTTCAAGAACACTATGTGGGGTCTCTGTTTCCCCCGGAAGAGATCTGCCTGTTCAATGGCTTTGAGAACATTTTTCTTGGAAATCTCCTGAACTTCTCCTCCTAAAAGGAACTCATCCAGAATGAAAGAGGCTTTTTCAAAATTGAAGACTATATCAGTCAAGAAATTCTACATAGTGATGAATTATTTCCAGAGTTATTAGCTCATTGTCCTGATCTTCAATAGCACAGCAGAAATAGAGGCTTGCGTATCTTTTGTAGACTATCTTCAGGTCTCTCCATTCCAGAGAGCTGCACATTTTTGGTTTGAGGGCTAACACTGTTTGAACAAGTTCCCTTGTGATTTTCTTCTTTTCTTTGTCAGATACCATTTCTGGAATCTCAGTTTCCCCTGGCAACTAAAGAGCAACATAAACTGCATCATGCCCCCGGGGGGGGTGAAGAGGAGGAGGCAGCAGCACCACTACCTCAGGTCTCTCCATTCCAGAGAGCTGCACATTTTTGGTTTGAGGGCTAACACTGTTTGAACAAGTTCCCTTGTGATTTTCTTCTTTTCTTTGTCAGATACCATTTCTGGAATCTCAGTTTCCCCTGGCAACTAAAGAGCAACATAAACTGCATCATGCCCCCGGGGGGGGTGAAGAGGAGGAGGCAGCAGCACCACTCCCCAGCCCCCTGCTGCTGCTGCCACCATCGTGGCTGCTGAGCTCACAAGTTACTTCAGAGACTCAATGCCTGCTTATTACAAAATAAAGGACATTATTTACATGATGAAAGAAAAATTTCAGCATTTTAGTGGAATGGATGACTGATACTGCAACAAGTTTAGTCCATGTACTTCCCAAGAATGTCACCATCTTCTAGTACAATCTTAGTACCACCATATTCTGGTAGCAAAAATTTTTCACCAACTTTCACACTCACTGGCTGAATCTCACCATTCTTTCCTCTGGCTCCCGATCCAACTGCTACTACTGTTGCTTGTAGCACTTTCCCTTGAGCTTTTTCTGGAATCCTGATGCCTTCTTTAGTTACTGTCTCAGCCACGCATCGTTCAACCGTCAACTGGAGCAGGACTGAGGGGAGAGGAAGGGAGATGCCACTGGCCTGAGCCCTGCAGATAAAGAAAAGTCCTTTTGGGTCTGTCAGGGTATTAGCTGACTTGGAGATATTTGGGAAAAACAAGCAAGCATCCATTCAAATTATAGCAATATTATACTTCTGCAAAGGTCCCTCCTTAAGTCCAGGTCATCTGCAGACATATAACTGCCCAATGTTCCCAACAGCTCACCTCGCCTTCAGAGACGACTGAAGCCGGCTTCTGCTTCCTTTCAGCAGCACTTTCTGCTTCCTTTCAGAAGCATTAAGTTCTGCAGGGCTTGCCACCAGACAAATCTTCAGAGGCTGTATTTTCACGCCCCCACAGGGGGCACCATCTGTGGCAATCAAAGATGAAGGCACAGACCATTGAGCAGACCTTCGGAGGTTGAGTTTTCACTCCTCACATGGGGCACCATTTGTGGCATTGAAAGCCTACAGCAGAGAAGGCACAGAGCCCAAGTCCCAGCACAGGCACAGAGTGATCCCACTGCTATTTATCCCTTTTCTCATTGGTCCCAAAACAAAGTCCCCACCCCTGCAGGTCCTACAGCTCAACCGCCACACCTGTACTTGCTCAGCTGCCACACCTGCAGATCCTATACTTATCCCCATATCCAGTTCCTGTTGTGTAACCCCCTAACTTCAAATGACTGTGGTTAGAGCTGCTGAGTAGCACTATCAAGCATGGAGCTCCTCTTGTTGCCCCATCCTCAATTTTGCCTCTTCCTTATCTATTTCCAGTCTTCAGATTTTTCTCATTGCTGACCAGGTTTCTCCCTCCAGATGCATCATCTACATATTTTTTTTTCCTGGAGGGAATTGGACTGGTCTCTCTCCCTAGTTTCCCTTGCAGATCCTGCCTAAATTCCCCATAGCCCCAGTTTCCACTCTGACTCTCTCTGTAGGCTCGGTGCCCCGTTTCCTTCCCGTATGTAAATATGTCTGAGTCTGCCTGTGATACACCCAGAAACCCACAGTATCTGCAGGGGAAGAAAGAGAATGTAATCCTAATTCCTTGTTTTCTTTCTTCCCCTTCATGACGGGGGCTTTAAATCAGTCCTTGACAGAGCCTCTATCCCAGTGGTGTTACTGTGGGTAGGTGCAAATCAACAGAGCTTCCTTCTAATTCGGCCAGCTCAGGTTTTAAGCTTCTCGCTGTCTGGTCTGAAACTCCAAATAGGCACGTGTGCTCCCTTCTTTTTCTTACCACTACTCCATTACTTATCCTCCAGGAGATGAGATGAAAGCAAGCTGGAACAAGGACACTTAAGCTGCTATATTTGAGGGTGGGAGCAGAGCCATGCTCTGTGGAAACATGCTAATGTGTGTGCAGGAGCAGAGGTTGCATCTATAATCCAAACCCACAAAAAAGTGTAGTCCGAAGGTTACAAAGTGATGTACTTAAAAGCTAGGAATTGCCAGAAAAGAGAGTTCTGGTGAATCTCAATTTGCACCTCTGTGTCTTTGCATTACGATGGGCTTTAACTCTGCAGCCACATTACCCTTTTCCAGAGCTCCCAACCGGTCTCGCTTGATGTGCAGAATGGATCGCGTTCACTTGCTCAGCCTCTAGTCAATCATTTTTCTTCCACGGTGTCGTGTCTGTCCCTGTATTACTTATTCAAACGCAGCTCTGGAAAAAGAATGGTTAACTTAAACCATTAACTTAACCGTGGTTAACTCACGGGCTTCTATGGCACCGGCTGCTATTGCATCTGAGCGCTTTGCAAGCGGTAAATAACCCCCCTGGCTCGTCAGAAGGGGCAGTTCCCCATTTTGCTGATCTCTCCCTCAAAACCTAATGT